CGGTACAATCTCATATTGTTATAGATACGCGATTGCACATCCTTCCTGATGGTTGAACAAAAAATTCTTCCTCCAATTTAATGATCACACGTTGTCGAAATGTCGACTAACAGTCTTACCAGATCGATGAAAGAAAAATGACAATGAGATAGTTCAATTTTTTAAATTATGCCCTAAAATATGTAAAAATTTAGCAATTTGTTCTTCTATTGTTAAACTAAACACATTTTTTACCATATTAGTTGCTCTTAATCGATGGTACAATTGGATCAAAGCCTCAGGTCTCATGTAAATAATATCCCGACATCCCTCTGAATGTATAAGATATCACATCAACTCACATCTATGACGATCTTTTCAGGACCATGCAAGTTAACATTGTTGGTGGTGGTATACATCATCTCTAACATGTATAATGTATAGGAAACATTACATAAGATGGTTGTGTCCCAACATTCACATTTTGTTTTATCTATCAATGAACATGATATGTTATGTTAATATCCATGTCCACGATATTAGTAGTCATTTGTTGTTCATCTTCTAAGTTCATATAATCTTCATTTTCATTCTTTGTCGTAGAACAATAATAACTTTCTAGACAAAAATATTTTACTTAATTACTTCTACCATATTATCAATAATAATAATAATAATAATAATAATAAATTTGTCATTAATAAACATTAATATACACATAATTCATAAGAGTTTAGATTAAAAACTATGTAAATAATTAAAATTAAAAATTTATATAGCTTACTTCGATAACTATATTATAATTAAATTATTAACTTAACAATTAATTATACAAAATATTTTTACCATTATTTTCTAATTTTAATTTATAATTCTTTATTTATAATTTAATCACTTAACTCCAAACCATAATTATTTACTAAAACATAAAAATATCATTATTTTCAATACAAATATTTTTAGAATTATTTATAGTTTCATTCATTCTTATAATTAATTACCTTCAAATAATTATGTAAATTTTATTAATTCATTACTTATAACACAAATTAATTCTCCAAAAATTAAACTTATGATTATTTTCTAAACAAGTAATTTTATAAATGTTTATAATTTGAAGGGTGTTTTTTATTATCTACGTAATTTTTTTAATTATTTCTTTATAATTAAATACATTATATCTTACTCCAAATTAATTAACTAAAAAAAGTCAAATAATTTCTTTATAATTATTTACTTATAATTTGATCAATTATTTCTTAAAATTGACAATTATTTATAGTTCTAATAATTCCTATAATTAATTATCTAAAAATAGTTATGCAAATATTTTTTATTTATTTGCTTATAAACTAAAAAAATGAACTCATAACCCTACATTATTGATCGAGACAAATTTTCATTTACTTATTTCCTAAGATAGGATTTATTTCAAAAATTGTTACTTCTAATACATCTTATAATCCCTTACCTATCTCTATGATGTTATATTTCACAATTATTTAACCAAATATTTTTTAAAATTATGTTCCATAATGAGTGTAAAATTAATTTAATATTAAGAGCATATCACATAACAAATCGAACAACCATCATTTTTATACAATTCAACACAAAACAAATGAAATAGGCATATAATCGATCATGCACGTTTTGATAATCGATTAGGAACAACAACATTATCGATTATTACCTCAATCATAATCGATTATGCAGTTCAACATAATTGATTATGTCATCACTCATAATCAATTATGTTGACATTTATCTATAACAATGACACATCTAAATAGCAAATCAACAATAGTTCAACGATATAAATCTATGCAAACAAACAAACACAACATGTAATTAACATCTTAAATCAATGAAATCATAAACAATTGTAGAAGAAAAGTGATCGATAAACTTACTGGACTCATTATGAATAGGTGGAAGCAGAAGTACCTCTGGGACGCTATTATGGTTCCTTCCCTCGATCCCTATCATACGTTCCTTGCAAAACTCAATGACCCCTTCTTTCTCTTGAAATAATATTAGTGAATGCACGACGACAAGTCTTGCCAATTGTTGTATTTATAGCTTCCAAATGGTTCACGAGTTCATTCAAAGACTAAACAGAGTCATGACAACGTTCAACGCACATGGCAAGAAACAGTGAGAAAACACATACTGTATTTACTGTGGTGTTAATATGTTACGCAATGGTAGCTGAAAAATTAAAGATGAATATTTGTGAGTGTAGTGTTGGAAGAGAATATTTATGAGTGCAGTGTTGAAAGGTTGCATGCGAGACAAAGAAAAAGTTGTTAAGGACAATATAGACATTCTCTCAATTAACATGCTCATTTCACCTCTTTTCTTCTCAAGATTAGAGGTGTTTTCCTGTGCATAGGTCCCACACATCTTTCTTACAAATCATGTGAAATTAGCATATACAAACACACCTATTTCTACACAAATTCACTCCCTAATTTCGTTCACTACAATACATATATAGAACCAAACATAAAGGACTCAACCAATCTTATAATTAACTTTTTATCTATGATCTTGAATTTTAGTGTATATTTGATTTTATAGTACATAATTAATAATAATATGATTTTAGTTAATACAGTGAGATTTTACTATTCATTATCTAGTTCCTTCCTTGTGCATTTATAATAAAATAATTTGTTTTTAATGCTTGTTAATAAAGATAATTTATGTATATCAAAATGGCATTCTTTAATGAATAACATTTCTCAATCATCCCTTTATTTTGCTTCTAGAAGACTCCTCTGATTGTCATGTTCTTACACTAGGGATTTTTGGTCGGGTACTAAACAACTTTCTTACTCTTATAAGAGAAACATGTTTCTTATCATTTTTCTATTTTCATGTTATCTTTCTTAGTATCCTTCTTCTTCTATTAGTGTTGTCTTCACACTAATTGTTCTCTATTTTGCTTTTAGATGTATATGTTTTACGTCTTATACCTTCCATTTCCTTTGTTATTAGGTTATTATGTTGATTCTTCTATTGATCTAAATTACACCTCTCTAGGTGTCACCAACTTACTAGATAAGGAGATTTTGCCCATCAAAATTAAATGATCAATAAACTAGTACTATAAATTGACATCGTAAATGATCATCATTGGTTTGGTCACTATTTTGTTTTCAAAATTGTAACTTAGAATGAAAACACGAGTACCTACAAAATTCTAGATAAATATGAATATTCATTGAAACCATTCATTTATCTTTCTTTAGCTTCAACCAACTTCACATAACTTTTCATGGCTTCCTTACATCAACCAAAACATGATTATAAGTTTGCATGAATAATTTGTTTCACTACTTATATGCATTTTGTGTTGTTTTGTGTTAAGTTGAATTTATTTTCTCAACAAATTTAGAATATCATTCATATAAATGTATTTTTTTTATAATACAAACATGTCAGTTTTTGTTTTTATATTGGAACCATTCATTCACTCTAAATATAAAATGAAAACTCATTTGTGTTAAGTATAAATGAAATGAAAACTCGTTTGTGTTAAGTATACACGAAATGACCTTTTGTATGAAAAAAAAAAAAAAAGATATATTATACTTAGCACAAAGGGTGTGCCAATAACATTACAAAAGTAGCTTAGTCACATATTTTCCAAACAATTTGAATCTTTCTCTAAGATTATTTCTCTTACACCCCAATAATTTCTTCTACACCCCAATAATATATGTAAATTATCAAATATTTGTAAGGTTAGTTGTCATTTTCTACATCACACCTTCATACTAGCATCCACACCTTCCTTTGCTTCTTCTTCAACATCTTCATTCAAGCATCATTTTCACTTTAAGGTTAAAAATTTGTTAATGGTTTATGTTTTGAATTGTATAACATGTTGTGCATCCAAAAACAACATAAAAAAATACATTTGATTTGCATTTGTGATGTTCTAGATTATTAAATTTAAAATATATTTTTAGAAAATATAATAAATTCATAATAGGCTAATCTGGAACACATTTTTCATTATATATTTTCTAGAAATAAATTTTGAGTTGCTAAATCTGAAATATATTTCTATAAAAATTCAATCTAAAAATACATTTTAGAAAATACAATTCATGTTCATTTCTAAATTATGTGTCCAGGAAATATATTCTAAAAACATTTTCAAAAATTTTGGGGAATCATTTTAAAAAAAATACAATTCAAAAATACATTAAGGAAAGCAAAAACTCATCTCTATAATCAGCAATGCGAAACATTGTTACATTAAAGAAAATATAGTCATTTGAGATAAATATATAGGGTGCAACAATAAAGTATAGAGGTGAGTAAGAAACAGTCTTCTCTTATCCAACAGAAGATTTTTTCCAGGCCCAAAATCCAAGTGAACAAAACTAATCCAATAACACCAACTTATTAGAAGCATTAGATAAAAAAATTAAAAAAAGCAATATAGTTCTAAAGTGAGAGGGTAAAAAGAAAAGTATTTTAGTCTGTATATTAATAACACTGCATCGATATAATGAAAAAAAGTCCGTAAACAGTTGACAGTTTTAGACTGGGGTTGGTGTTATGATACGTCTATTTATCCATGATGGTTATGTTGAATGTTGTGGTTCATTACACCAAAACTGAGACGAAATAACGCATGGTAAGAGCGAAACTCTAAATAAGAAAACAATGAAAGAAAGAACGAACTTTTAAAGAAAGCACCGACATGGCGACATCACCGAAACACAAGGTTTAGTGGGTGGATGGGTGCATTAGAACATTAATTTGTTCACTATGATTTGAAATTGGTGATTAACTTGGATATTTTCATGATGGGGGATGAACCTAACTTCCCCATCTCATAGTATTTTCTTTTTTATGAGGGTGGTGGGATGAAATATTAGATAGGAGGATCAAAGAGGGGTCCACATGTCATCCACTGGGACTACAAGAGAAGGAGAGTTTTATTAAACAATGAATGAACGAAGGGTAGAGTTATTAGAGGTCAAGGAGACAAGTAGTACCTAATGGCTCCCCACCATGATAAAAGTGGCTATCCATTGGGCTTGACCCAATCATGAGTGGGGGCCCACATTCTCTTGCTTTTGCCATCAAATTCCCAAACCCTGTCTGTCCCTGCGTGCACACTCTTCCCCTCCCACCCTTGCGTCAGATCAACCTACTTCTTGACTTTTTTTTTTTTTTTCATTGAAGTAGGAATTGAGATTTCTTATAGTGTAATAAGAAAGCTAAATAATATTTGAGAATGACATAATGAGATTTTCAATTTTAAAAATATTTTACATTCTCTTATATAATTTTTTTTATTTTATATTAGTTTTGTTTTCAAAAATATTTAATGATAATATGGAAATTTGTTTGAAAACAATTTCAAGATATTTTTAATTCTATCGATACAATCATTAAAATTATTTTATTTTATTTTAATTTAAATAAATATTTTGTATCTTGGACATTATTCTAAAAATTCGATAACTAATTTTTTTCTATAACTATATATTTAATTTCATTACCACAAGATAACGTTTTACATCGTACCATTTCTAGTTTCCACGTATTCTTCTCATTGTCACTAAATCATAAGTTATAATTACGATTATAATTATTTAAAATTAGGAATAGAAAATAATTCACTTATTATCATTTATTTATACTTATATAAAATAAATAAAAGATGACATATTTTAATTATGATTAAAAAGATTATATGAAATTTTTATAATTAATTTTATAAGACGATATTTACAAAAGAGTTGTCTCGTATGCTTAAATTTTTTAATTATAACTTTTTTATAATTATCATTATATGATATATAATAATTATTAAAATAATCATACATCACATCTCATAACTATCATTATTAGAATCATCATTGTATCTTATTATATTTTTTATTCATTTCTCTTGCGCACTTTAATCTTCTTTTTTTTTTTCTTTTTTTTCCTCTTGGTTCACCTAAACACTGTTTCTCTATCAGAATTTGACTCTTCTCCATTAACTTTTCTTCTTTCTTTCCTGAAGCATATTTCCATCTAAATTTTTTCTAATGTGTAAACATTAAAACTTTTGTTATCGTCGACATTGTGCTTGAAAAGAATGATAAAAGAATAATAAAATATTTAAGATTTATTGTAACGAAATAATATCTATTGTGACAAAGAAATATTTACGATACATTATATAAAATAAATATTATATTTGTAATCATTATCGTATTGATAATTACGACAGACTAAAATCATTATCAATTTTAAAATTTTAAACAATAATGATAAAATCATTATTATATATCCTTTTAATTATCATAAAATTACATGTTTATAATAATAGTGGTCCATATATAGTGATTCATCTACGAACAAATCTATCTAATATATTTGATTATAAATATAAAAAAATAATTAGATCAACTTCATGCTTTTTATTTCAGTACTAAAAAATTAATTATTTTTTAAATTTTTTTATAAAAAATTGTTTAAAGTTGTACGAAATTTATTTCGTGTAATTTTTATAAAAAATTTGCTTGAGATTTTCTAGTAATATTTTATAAATAAAAAATAATTATTCTATTATTTCTCAAAAATTTAACGAATCTTCTGAAGCGACATTAATTCAAACAAATTTTTATAATTTACTTTTTTATGTTTTCAAAAATAGTTTTAAATTTGTTTTTGCAAAATTTTAAAAAGTTGTTTTTAATTTTTAATTTTTTCAAAAAGATTGTTTTTATGGATAGATGGATTTTAAGAATCTGTTTTTGAGATGTTGAATGAAGTGTGATGTTATATATTGCGGGTTTCTATAATCGATATACTCATAAATTGTTGATTGCCATATACATCTTCGATCAACGAATACTATAATATCTCATGCATATTTAATATTGAAACTTGCCTGATTCTCCACTCTCTTCACTTTCATTTCAGAAGCTGTGAAAGGCAAATTTAACACTAGCCAACAAGACTCATATTTTTTGGTGTTCACACTCAATAGAGTATAATGTCTCTAATAGAATAATTTGAAGAAAACAAATCATGTATGGATTTAAATCTAACTATTTGCATTTTATATTATTAATTAATGATAAATATGAAAAAGTTGTACACATAGACTGAACCCTTAATTTTATGAATGATTTGATTATGTTCCGCCCCGTGCCTTCATAGGGCTACATACAACTCATAACGAGTTTCAAGTTTAGTTGGTCACAAAAGTATTTGCCAATGCACTGTCGATACCAAAGTCAATCATAAAGAGTTGTAAAAACATATATAATATTGGGTTCAAAGACGTGACATCTTACATAAAATGTGCAATATTTCCCTGCTATAATTCGGGAAAAAAATTATATTAATCACTTGACTTATATGCTCAGATGGTATACATATATGGGTCCTTTTGTAAAGACATGCTTCTTATAGAATCAAACTCAAAGATGGTCATATAGAGAGAGAATATATCCGGTTGTAATGCATAAATTAATTGGGTTAGAAAAAATCACGTATTCATAGGAGATGAGATAAAGTGTAATGTATATATCATGTCACTCAATTTTCAGTTTTCAAAGTGTCTTTAAACAAAATATGATGAATCATATATTAAAATCGAATGATATTTTAAATATAGTAATAAATCCTAATAATATTATTATGATAAATATGAAATTAAGATGTTGTTGTTTTAAAACATTAATATTTAATAAAGTGAACAATATCTTAAATATAATAATTGATCATAATAATATTATTATAATAAATATGAAATCAAGACATTTTTATTTTTAGACAAAACATTAAATATATAATATTAATATAAATAATATATAATATTTATAAAAATAGAAGTGAATAAAGATAAAAGTAAAGACCATCAATTTATTATATATTTTTATTATATTTTATTAATTTATATTTTATTGTTTTTAGTATTTTTAAATTTATAATTTATATAATCTTTTCATTTTTTAATAATAATAATATTATTATTATTATTTTAAAATACCACATTATAAATTTATTGTGTATTTGCTTCCTCAGACAATAATCTTTTAAGACTTGAAGAACTAATTTAGAATTGTATATTTAGTACCTTAGGTATCACTTAATTTCAGTTAAAGGGTTTCAATTGTGTAAAGTGAATATCTAATGTGTGATTTTAATTAAACTACTCCTAAATTTAATGAGACATATTTTATTTTTTAAATAACGCGGTCTTTTCATGTCTCTTTTCTGTACGAATGTGAAGGGGAAAATAAGAATTTTAAAATTCTTTGCATACTAATCCTACCTACAGTTTATTAAATATATTACTCCTTGAATATAAGAAGGAAATCTAATTAATTTAATTGCATCAATTTCATTTAAGAAATTTTAAATTTTCAAAATTATCATTCCTTAAAATTTGATATCAATGATGAAAAAAAGTCATCAAATCAACGTTATTTTGATAATCTTTTAATGAAGTAAACGTAATTGATATTTGCATCTATTTTATAAATAAAAAAATATATAATAAAGTACGTGACGTTAATATTTCGTCTAGAAAGAAAATGCGAGTGTAATTGTCTTATGTTACATTAATAGGTTTAATTTTTACGAAATTTTAATCCGTTGCGATTATATATTAAAAGGTGTTTCAATATATGAGGAGAAAAGATACATATAAAGTATTATTATCTTCGGACTCTTAAATAATGTAAGATTATAAGATTAATAAGTATATGAAAAAATTATTTTTTTCTTTTACAAAAAATATTTAATAAACATTCTAAATTAATTTGTATAAAAATATTTAAGCCAACTTAATTTTGTAAAAGAACATGCAAGGAATTACGCGTTAGGGTTCTCCATTACCTGTAAACAGTTCAACATGAATTTACTATAATTCCTTATTCTATCCATTTCCCAAACAGTTACTTACTTTCCATTGTGAAATTAGCATTTACATGCCCAACTTGACAACTTTTTTGTCCATGAATCATGGACTATTGTCAATTCAAACACCATCAAATCATATCATATCTTAATGTAATTCACACAAATATCAAACCCCATCGCCAACAAAAAGCATTTTCTTCCCCCTTTACCAACTTCTCATTCACACTAGAACTAGTTTGTACATAATATGCATATATATTGTGTATACCATGCATGACTCAAACTTTTTAATAGATGATCTATGATCAGAAAACTCTTAGTATATATATCTACTTTACTTGTAAAATTAATTACTAATTTAATATGTGTATTATATAAGTTAAATATTTATTTTTATATAAGTTAAATTAGTTACTAATTTAATATGTGTATTATATAAACAAATTATTTTATATTTAAAATGTATTAAATAAATATATATTTTATTTATAATAAATAATTTAAGTTATGGGAATTTTTTTAAGTTATTAACATTTTTCTTTTAAAAAAATATTGAAAATCAATTTAATGACATAAAAATTGTTGATTGAAATACATAAGTGATTAGAAAATCAAGTATATGAAAATATTAAAAACAAAATATTGAGATGGTTGAGATATAAAAAACTGGTTAATTATGACAGATTAAAAGAAAAAAATATAATATTTAAAATGTTTGATTTTACATACATAGAGAATGAAAATCTTAATCTTCAAACATTTATAACTTGGGAAGAGTAAAGAATATTTATGAAAGTGGTGAAATGATTTTTGAATTAAAATTATGTCTTGGCATATGGGTGAAAAAGAAAAGTCAATTGAATAGGGGAAATGTGGGAGATTAAAATATTAGTTGTGGGTGTGTGATGAGGATGATTAGGAAGAGTAAAGACAGAAAAAGTGAAAACGAGTTGTCTGTCTTAGTTTGTGTTAATGGGGCCAATGATGTATATTGGTTGGTTCGTGTTGCGAGGGGAACCAGAGAAAGATCAAAAGCTTCGGCATTCCAATCATTTCCTCACAAGAACTTTCAACCGACATCAAACCCTACTTCTACCTTCTATCTATCTATCACATTTTATACAATTTTTCCCTTCTCCTCCTTAATAACATGTTCTGCATTCTCAAATACATTGTTATGCACTTCCATACTTTTCTTTTATATCTTTGGAAATTTTGTTACTACCCGTATAAATGTTGGATTTTACGAGAATGATTAACATTGTTGTTGAGACACCATATATTTATATAAAATTAATTATTTTAGTTTATAAAACAGAAGAAATAGTAATTGTTTGAATATTAATATTTATACATTAATTAGTTTAATTTTTAATTATTAAAAATAGAAATACAAAATTATTTTATGTGTGTGTGTGTGTGCTTGTGGCTTAATTTTTGTGATAAGAAAAGTAAAGCAAGAGAACAATACCATTTTTTATAACATATATGAATATAATAAACCATCGTGAATATTTTTAGTTTGGTAAAAATCATGAATATTTATTTGTTACTAGCTATTTCTATTGTTCTGTTTCAAATAGTAATATTACTAGTCTTCATTTCGTATTAATTTTTTAATTGATAAACATTTAAAAAAAAATAATAATAATAAAACCATCACTGAGAAAAGTGTAAACATGGTAACATCTGATTATTCTTAAAGAGTTATATGTTTAAAGTAATCATTATTTTCTTTGAGATGTATTTAATTAGAGCTCAAACAGTCAACTCTACACTAATCAAGATCAAGGAAACCATTTTTCCCTTTTTTTAGGTAATCGAAGAATAAAAATGATTATGTGTGAAAAAGAAAATGGTTAAATATTCTAAACAAAAACAGAAATGAGTAAAAGTGTCTTATTTACATGGTACACTACATTTTAATGAGTTAATTTTATATTAACTTATTATTATTATTATTATTATTATTATTATTCTTTAATTACATGAGTTCATTTAAGTATCAAAACAAAGTGAATAAATAAAATCTTGATGTAAAAATTAAATGAATAAAATGTTTGAAAGCCTTGAATCATGTTATATGTAAAAACATATATAATAAAATTTCATATTTGAAAACTTTAAAATTGTTAACTCTCCATTGAAATAATAATAATAATAAAAAAATAGTATTGTCCATTAAATATATCTAACTAAGCTTTTCGACTTGGCAATTCTATCCTTGCAATCCACAGTTTCGAAATTGATCTACGAAAATAATTAGGTTTGAACGATCCACTGCCAGTACTAAGTTATTTTTGTGACTGGGTTTCAGAAAACTTATCCAAATGCCCGTGAAGAAAATATATAAATAATACTTGGTTAATTAAAATAAAAAATATTTAATTTAATTTAATAAAATTAATTTAATTAAATAAAAATTATATTCACTTATATATTATAATATTATCATATTTATCTTAACGAAAATTTACATCACATCCTTACAAAATAATTATTTTTATTTATTATTATTAATTTTGAATAATAACTACTTTCTTTTATTAAAAATATTTTCTAACGACTAAAAGAAACAATCTCAGTACTCCTAAAGTTTGACCAAATGTTAATGAACGTTGTAGGTTACTTCCTTCATTAACAGCGTATGTAAGTTACTTCTTAATATTATTATTTTTGAAATAGATAAGTTTCCCTTTCCGTTCAAATCTATGTCAAAAATATTATTATTAGATTAATAGTATAAATAAACAAAGTAAAATAATTTATTTTACCAATTTTATATTTCTAAAATTATTTTATAATTCTTGACTTTGGAATTTTAGGTGTATAAAACAAAAATAACCATAAGATGAAAACCGGAAAATGAATTTGGAGTTGGATCTTGTAGTCTTACACAGGTGCACGTGTCAGCATCTTGGGGCCACAAGGCCTTTGACTTGGACGACCACGGTCAGAAACCTACACCTCTTGATATACGTTTTTCCCATGGAAACCTCCTTTTGATTTTCTATGCTCCTTTTAGGGTATTAATTATAATAAACTTGTACGACTAATTAATATCCCTATATTTGTTTATTTGACCTTTCTATATATCTTGACCTTTTTCTCTCCAAACATTTCATCAGATCCTTTGCTGCTTCTGTCTTCCTTTTCATGTGTGTCTCCTTCTGTTTCCCCACTTTACCTTTTTCTCTCTCCTTTTTCGCACAGATCCTCCTTCTCTTCTTCTTCTTCTTCTTCTTCTTCATCGTCACCATATATCTTTTTCCACCCCCTTCATTATTTCCTGTGCGTCTTCTATGGCGGTTTTACCAAGTAGCTCCTCCACCTTGGAATTGACCATATGCATCCCTGGCTTTGCTTCTTCACCAACTCTTCTTCCATCATCATCATCTGGTAAGCACCACATACTCATACACACACATACATATACACATGTTTATCTGTCCCTTTTTGGTTGTTTCTCTTTTTCTGCAATTATCATCCTTTTCTTCATCTTTGTCATTTTGATCAACCGCTTATACCCTCTTAAATTTCTTCCCTTTTTTGTGTTCTTGTTTGTTTAATTTCATGTTAAATTCTTTTGATTTTTTTACTTCTACTGGTGTGTAAAAGTGGCCCCTCTGTCAAATATACGTTTTCTTTAGGAAGGGATCATTTATTTATTTTTCTCTACCCTTTCTTAGATTAAAATTAAAGTCACGACCACATGAACCCACCAGGGTTTTTCTCTTTCATCTCTCTCTCTCTCTCTCTGGTTGGTGATTTAACAGCGATGTCTGTAAACATCATCTTTCCAATCTTGTCCTTAAATGATATATTTTTGGATCATGTACAGAAGATCATATGATTTGTTTGGTCCATGAGGTTTTTATTTTTTGGAAGTATATATATGTATAAATATAAGGCACTGTTTGGTATTACAGTGAAAGAATTGGACATAAACCAAGTACCTCTAGAAGAAGATTGGATGGCATCAAACATGGAAGATGAAGAAGAAAGCAGCAATGGAGACACTCCCCGGAAGAAACTCCGTCTCACAAAGGAACAATCTCGTCTCCTTGAAGAAAGCTTTAGACAAAACCACACCCTAAACCCAGTAACCCTCCAAACTTTCTCTCTCTCATTAAATATGTAATTTACATAATTAAACATCAGTGTCATATCTCATGCTTGTGATTACGTATAGTTATACTGAGTAATAATTATATTACGGTTTTTGATTTCTTGGTTTTGTAGAAGCAGAAAGAGTCTTTGGCAATGCAACTGAAGCTGCGACCAAGGCAGGTGGAGGTGTGGTTTCAGAACCGTAGGGCCAGGTAAGCCTAATTAATCCTAATTAATAAGGTGATGGAAAAATGGCATTTATTTTGTCATTTATGATTTGACTTTAAAATATCGTACTACTATTTATAATTTCATCATCTTAACTTTATATATCCGCATTTTCTGTGGGTATGCTTATATACAGACACATGTCAATGTTGACAGAATAATGATAATTATCATATGGACCTCATGAATCTGAATCGGATTCTATACCCCTTATTCATCCGTACAATCTCTAAATAAAAGTGGAAAAGTGATCATTTAAATTTTAGATTCACTTCCTTCATGTAATTCCTCGTTCCCAAGAGATCTAGATCATACCATGAAAGAAATCTGGATCTTGCATGTCTAGGTGTAAACATAGCTCAAATATTTGGATCAAGTTGAAGTCACAACTCTATTTTTGTTATCTCACGTGTTAGCTAGTTATACATATATGCAAATTATTATGTATAAGCCATTGTAGAATTAAATTAGACTCATGTTTATCATGGCTGTGAAAAATAATGTGAAAATTAGTTGATCATATGGCTGGGAAAAATCCTAGTTTATATAGACACTACTAGAAAACTAGTTTTTTTCTACCAATTTTCTTGCAAAAAATTGTTTAAATTTATAGAAAACTTATTTCTTGCAATTTTTACCAAAATTTTGCAAAAATATTCTCATGAAAAATGAGAATTTTTAGTAGTGAGAATGGATGGTGGTATATCTATTTTTTTTTTGTTATTTGGAATAATCATTGCTTTTCAAAGCTATTCCATAAATTGTTTGTTTTAAACTTATTAAACGCACATTTAAGACAAACCTGTATGATCTATTTCTTTGTAACATGTTTTATGATTTTTTATTTTAATAGTTTCAAGTTATAGTTTTAAGGAAATTGTCTCTAATTTTTTCAAATATGTTAAGTTTCAAATGTGACAAAACTATAATCACATTAACAGAAATTATAAACGTATGGTAATGATATAATAATAATAATATAATATAATATATTAGGTCATGAAGACATTGCAATGACATGAGAGTAGCTTGGTGTTCAAATATATGAACAGTTAATGATGTAGTTCCAGTGTTAAACCATAATTTCAGCTGAGGCAAAGAACACAATCATTGTTGTCGAAATTAAAGTAGACAACTAGATAATGATAGCACCGCATTGGTGGAGTTTTATTTGGCCTCGTGTGCTACACTGATCATTACTCCAATAAGTGCGACTTTGACCACTTGTTTTGGTACTTTAGACCAACCGTGCATTTGATTTTACAACTTAAATTATTGGTGTTAAGCATAATGTATTTAGTTATCATCATCACGTATCCATAAGAGCACAAGGGTTCTTCACTTATTCCAAATATTAAGTTTTTCATTTCATCAAAGCTATGTGACCCATGCAAATACATTATAAAAATAAATTCTTATTTATTTTGACAAGAAAATATTTTTATAAATGCAAATGCAATGAAGGAGCAAGCTGAAGCAGACAGAGATGGAGTGTGAGTACCTGAAGAGGTGGTTCGGGTCACTGACAGAGCAAAACCGAAGGCTTCAGAGGGAAGTGGAGGAATTGAGGGCAATGAAGGTGGGCCCACCAACAGTAATTTCCCCACACTCTTCAGAGCCACTCCCAGCCTCCACACTAACCATGTGTCCCCGCTGTGAGCGCGTCACCACTACCGCCGACAAACCGCCCTCCGTCGCCGTCACTTTGTCCGCTAAAGTGCCTGCGCAATCCCGTCAACCTTCTGCTGCTTGTTGACCCCTACCTCAAATCTAATCAGACACATTGCAAAAACTAAACTAAATTTTGAAAATTATAAATTTAATGTGAAAAAATATATAAATATACATTACAAGAAAAAAAAAATGTTTTATATGTAGTAGCTTTTACAAAATGCTGTTTTTGGTGAAGGAGGGAAACTCTTTTAGTCTGTAGCATGTTGTAGGATGCTCTTTTCAATGCTCAATGAATATTTGATTATTTGCTCTTGTTTTTGGGTACATCACTAGATCGATGATACTTTATATTCTTTTTCCTTAATTTATTGAGATACTTCTTAAAAATAAAATTATTTTGATAAGAGCTTCAGAAACAATATCTTATATTTAAAATATAGACCCAGAGACAATATCTTATATTTAATATAAAAATAACACAAAACTAAAATATATATATATATATATATATATATATAACCTTTATTATTTATTTTATCTTAATATAATATTTAAGATAAATTATTATTTTTAATTATTAGATTAAAATATAATAATAAAAAATAAAGAATAAAATTTAATTATTATTTTTTAAAATTCCTTTATATATATATGAGAAATTTCCATATTCTTATCTTCTTGGCCTCTAGTTACACACTATTTTTCCTTATTAGATTTTAAAAAATAAATTTTATAATATTTGATAATTTGGAGTGCATTGGAGCTTCCCAAACATATGTCCTGAAATCGTTATTTCATATAAGGAAAAAGCATATGAAACAATCATTTTTCAACAAAAACAATTATCCAAACAACTCTGTTTATTAATGTAATATTAATCAAATTTTAAACTTTTATATTTTAAAAAAATTGAATTATTTATATATCAACATTCATCTCATAAATTTGTCGTGTAAATATTTATTTTATTTCACAGTAAGGAAAAAAATGTTTAATTTCATTTTTACCGTGGATGTTTGTTGGTGTAATGAAAAACTTATAAATTAATTGTTGGCTGATTCGTTAATTTAATGTTATTAATAACATTCTCAAAACTTATCACATACATATTATTAAATAAAATAAATAATTTTAAATAGTATCTTAATTTAATAAGTACATAATAATATAAATTTAGATCATTACGAAGAATTAAAAAGAAAAATATAGATTATTTTGATGTTCGAGTAATTATTCTTCTCTCTATATTAATATTTAATAATAAAATATTAGATAAAAAAAAATGTATTTATTTTTATGGATTATAAAGTTAAATCAGTCAAGAGGATTTTTTATATAATTTCCTCTATCTCACCAACTTTGACAAGTCAATAGAACGAACAGACTTATTAATTCATTTTTTTAATATATTTACATATTAAAATAAAAATAAAAATAAAAATATTATAAAAAATATTAATTTTTTTGTTATGTTATTAAAATATGTAAATATAATATAATATTATAATTTAAATTATAAATATTAATAAATTAAATTTCAATTATTAATCATAATTAAATATTTTAACATAAATATAGTAATTTTATCAATTTATCTAATAAAAATATTAACTAATGAATAAAAACTTGAAAATCTTCATATAATTAAGGGTATATTTAAAAAAAATATGTGAAAGAAAATATTGACAAGAAGAAGATTACGATGTATGACTTATGCTGATTATAATGGGTAGAGATGACAAAACAAGTCAGTTCATCCCAATAATCGATGTACTCGACAATTTAGTGGATCAGTCAAGTATATTTTTTTATATTATTTTTTTAAAATAAATTTTTAATTATATGAATAATTTTAAGTTTTTATTCATTAATTAATATTTTTATTTGTTAAATTTAAAAAATTATTATATTTATATATATTAAAATATCCAATTATAATCAATAATTTAAGCTTAATTAGTTAGTATTTATAATTTAAATTATAATATTATAATATATTTATATATTTCAATAATATAACACAAAAATAAATAATATTTTTAATTATGAGTGAGCTAATTAGTGAACCTTACCTTTAACTCCACCTTTTGTTCATTAAGTTGGTGGACTAAGCAAAACAAGTTAAGATAGGTTGAAAGAGTAAAATTATCAATTCGTCCCACCAATTTTAAGATAGACTAGTTGGTCGACTCGTCCACTCTAACCCATTTTGTTGTCTCTAGTAACGAATTAACCCATTTTTTTTAGACTTGAAATGAGATGAGTCAAAATTGGACGAAGTAACCTATTTTATCACACCTCCATTTATTTATCTTCTGTGAGATTCTCAAAATAAAAATGAAATATATTTTTTTAATATATAATTTACAAGGTAAATAATATTCCGTTATATTAATAATACATAAATGAGTAAATTAGATCAAATTAATGAAATAAAAATTATTGTAATCAATTGATAAAAAGACTAATGAGAAATAATATTAGTCGTACAAAATATTTTACCAAATATTATATAATCCAACTCATATATTTTTGTGATTTTGTACACCTATCCAAAACCAACAACAATAGTGGTAGAGGAGCGAATTTCCCACTTTCACTCACTACTCTATAATGCACACATCTCATCTATCATAACTCATTCCCATAGACGAATACTTACCTGCATTCTTAGGAAAGGAAATAGAGGATAAGGAAGAAAGATATAAGAGTAGTAGGAATGAGAATTACAGTAAAAATATAAAGCATTATATGGAGGAGAAGAATCATGAGTATAATGTATACTAAAAATGGGAAAATCAAAGGGGACCAAAGCATAAGGCTAAGGAATTGGAACTATAGGTGGTTGGTGAATTCTTGGTGTTAGGTGGAAGTGCTACAAGATGAATATGACATTGCTAAACCTGCATGGATGGAGGGGATGAAGACTCCTCGTGAAGACAAAAACGAAATGAGATAAGTAATAGTTGGGAAGGAGAAGACTCAAATGTAAATGACATAGTCCCAAAAAATGGAAGTGTTTCAAAGAAAATGACATCAACAAAGAGAAACATCTTTGTAAAGTAGGCTAATAACATTTGTACTCTTTTTAAAATCATGGGTATCCATGAAAAACATACTTATAAGATTGAGGAGAGATTTTTTCAATGTAAATACCAATGGCATGAGAAAAACACGTAAAATAAAAGATTCGAGGCGATAAAGGATAACGATAATGGTGAGGAAGACAGATTTTGGTGAGAAATTTTACCTTTTATGATGGAAGAGGTCATGTAGTTGATGAGAAAACATACAATATGTGTTATGTCACTCCAAAACTGAAGAGGGATATAAGAATGTAGAAGAGATTGGGTGGTCACTATAAAATATCTATTTTTGGGTTTAGCAATTATATTCTCTTAGGGGTTATACGAATCTTTCATTAAATGTAACCAATCATATCTTATTCTCTATCTCGCGTGCTCTTTTTTTTTTTTTTTTATTATTATTATTATTATGAGCTCTTTGTGACATAACACATGCACATTCCTCCATCGATCACCATCCTTCATATTGCATCACTTCCTCATTTATTTTATGCAACCTTTCACATTTTACTTACTAAATTAGAAATTATAATTTATTTTTTCATAGTTTAAAATATAAAAAATTATATTATTTAAAATATACGAAATACTATTTATATATAGAAATTAAAATATAAAAATGTTTTACACAAGTATAAAATTTGTATTTGATTATGAAATTATTTTAAATTTTATTATAATTTTTGTTTAAAAATTATATTAAATATCAACAAAAATAAGTTTTGTTTAAAATATATTATCAACGTTTTCCCATTTTATGCAGTGAAAAAAAAAATGCTTCGATCCCAAGTTAGTATGTAAACTAGTAGAATAATAGTACATCGAAATATGTATTTGATGATTTTACAAGTGAAATATTTAGAAGGTTCAAATGTAAAAGAGTTATTGTTTAAATGTGGCTGAGTCACCATTAGTAAGTGGGCTTTTAATGGATCTTCAACACTCATTAGCCGAATAAAAGATTGGACATTCTCCCTCTATTTTTGTTGCATCTATATTAATTTGAAAAGATAAAGTGATTCAGAAGTATATTTTAAGAGTATTCTGCATTGAAAATAAATCTAAAAATAAATTAGATGAATGAATCTAGAAGTATATTTTTTTTTACGTTTCGAATTATAAAATTTGGAATATAATTTTACTATTCCGGAAAGATTAATCTAGAAATTTTCAGAAAGATAAATCTGAAAATAATTTTTTAGATGTATAATTTAAGTTCTGAATTTTCTCTTCCGGAAGCTTTCTGAAAACAAATTGGAATTAATTTTTCAGAATATTTTCAAAATGTTAATTCTAAAACATTTTTGGAAAGTTTACGGAAAGGTCATTCGGGATTATTTCTAGAAAGTTCAATGTAGAAACTTCCAGAATAATGAAGCTGAAAATTATTTATATTAAAGACAATATTATCTTTTAAGATGAATATGGGGTGCACCAAGAAAAAGCCTAAAAGTTTGGATATTAGGGTCTAGTCTTGTTTAAATTGTAATGGGTTGGACTAGAGATGAGGAAAAAAAAACAATTAGTTTTTAAAATGATATAAATAATAGCAAAAACATGAATAAACAATATATATATATATATATATATATATATATATATATATATATATATATATATATATATATATCAATGATTAGTTGCCAATATTATAGAAGACAATCTTGTTTTCTGACCAATATTAAAAGAAAACAATATGGCAGACACACATATTTTTGGTCGGTGAAGAAATAAATAATTTGAAATGTCCAAGCAGCCCAAAATGAAATGAGTGAAAGCCCAAACTGAGTTCAGGCCAGGGATTAGTCAGTTTCTTGCCTCATATGTGGAAACAAGAGCATGACACACCCAACAGAACATTGATGAAAGATCACAATCTGTTTCTTAATTAAATCAAAATAATGCTTCCAAAAATATGTACATACCAACCTAAGATAAACCCAAACCACAAGGCCCAGGGAACACACCTTGGCCCAGTCCCAGATAGAGATCCTAC